GCGGGCAGACGCCCAATGCACAGGCATGAAACCATGGAACAGACTAATGAATCTCGGAGGGAAGCAGGGAGAGGGGAGGATGGGAAGAGATTAACCAAAGATCTTACATGCATACTAGAGGCCCGGTGCATGGATTCATGCACTGGGGGGGGGCGTGGCTTGTGGGGATCAGCCTGCTAAGGGAGCAGCCACTCATCCGGGTCAGCCAAGTGGCTGTGGACCCATCCTCCGAGCAGTTGCAGAATGAGTAAATGAGGAAATTAATCTGAGCTGATATTTCGGGATAATATCTTGGGTAAAGGCATGTTCTCTGTCCTGGGGGAACCTGGTGGAGAGCTTTGCACCCCAAAGCCACTCAGTAAATGTCCTTGATGTGTGATGCCAGGTTGTTGACACCATCGGGGATGTTCAGGGCAGCCATGCTCCAGGACCTTCAGCCATCAGGACAGCCTCCCCAGGGGATCCACAGTCATGTCCACTCTTGCCAACCACCTATGCCAGCGCCTCACACGCTTTCTAGAACACACCTTAGAGGGCCTGCATCAGCTGGGCTCAGGCCAAAGTCTGGATTGTCTCAAGTATTTGATAGGTGCAGAGACTCAGCCTCACCCTGGACCTGTTAGCGGCTGCTCCAACTGCAGAAGAAGCCACTCATTCCAGTCAGCCGAGCGGCACTTCCACTGTGGGAGCACACTGACCACCAGGGGACAGCTCCAGCATTGAGCATCTGCCCCCTAGAGATCAGTGCACATCATAGCAACTGGTCAACCGGTTATTCTGGTCATTCTGCGTTTGGTCGCTGGGCGTTTATACATATAGACTAGAGGCCCGGTGCATGAATTCATGCAAGGGTGGGGTCCCTCAGACTGGACGGCCATCGGGGGAGGGACCCTGGGAGGTTGGCTGACCACAGGGGGTAGGCTATGGGAGCACACTGACCATGAGGGGGCAGTTCCTGCATTGAGTGTATGCCCCCTGGTGGTCAGTGCGTGTCATAGCAACAGGTCAACTGACCATTCGGTCACTTAGGCTTTTATATATAGAGATGATAAGAACATTTAATATAAGATCTATCCTATTAGCAAATGTTTATGTATACAATACAATATTGTTAACTACAGGCACTATGCTGAATGGTAGACCTCTAGAACTTATGCATCTTGAATAACTGAAACCTTGTACCTTTTGACAAAAGTTTTTATTAATTTTACAAAGAAGAAATGTAGCACTAGGATAAATACACTTCACTTTTTTTCATCTTCATGTAATTCACATACATTACAATGACAGCAAATGTATGCTTATCAGCAGCAATAGCAATCATCTTATTAATTTTCAATGAGTCATATTTTGTTCATCTTTGCCCCACCCCTATGTCCAGTACTTCCATAAAAATACTATTTTCATATTTGGTGAAATTTGGTGAAAGTTAAGACAGAGCATTATTATAGAATTTAGGAAATTTTTGATATTTTTATTTTGTTTATGTATACATCAGGGCGTTTTGTGTGTTTTTTCTGTCATAACTGTTGAGTAAGGAGTTTGGGGATAGACATTAAATATATTATTTTGTGATAACCATCTGGTATCAGCCATAGGATGACATCAGGAGCACTAGTAAATGTGTAGGCTTCTTTTGGAATGCAACTCTATACATAAATAGAAAAAGTGGTTGGGGGAAAACCACTTATAAAAAACTGGAATATTCAAAGAGAGACAGCTTTTCAGAAGTTTAGGTAAAGCATAGTTCTGACTGCTTGGTCTTAGAGCTCTTCAGGAGGATATATAGCAGAAATAGTTTTCATTATGGCTGACTTGTTTTTTTCTCTAGGTGCGGAGGTGCCTGATCAAGTATCTCTGAAGCTGCCACCAAATGTGGTAGAAGACTCTGCCCGAGCCTCCTTCTCAGTTTTGGGTAAGTCTCCAGCCCAAGTATATTAATCTAGTACTAGAGGCCCAATGCACAAAATTCGTGCAAGATTAGACCTTCCTTCCCCCGGCTGCTGGCACGGCCTTCCCTCTGGCACCCGGGACCCGGGCTTGGCTCACAGCCCTAGCTTCATCCAGAAGGTCGTCTGGAAGGATGTCTTGTCTAATTAGAATATTACACTTTTATTATTATAGATATTGACAGTTTCTACTACATTTTTTTTCCATAAATGCTTTCTCAAAATAGCAATTGTAATTTAAACTTCTTCCTTCTTTCCTTTTGTAGGCTTATTTATTGATTCCCATCATACTTCTATCCCTGGAAAATCTACCTTTCCTAAAAATCTTCATTTCTTTACCCCAGCTAATAATTTATTTATTTATGATTCTGATAAGTTATCATTGATAAGCTTTATGACTTCCCATCTCTCCCATTCTTTAGGAGACATATTAGCCTCTGCCATGAGAAACACACAAAACCTCCTACAGATGCCCTATGGCTGTGGAGAACAGAATATGGTCCTCTTCACTCCTAACATCTATGTTCTGAATTATCTAAACGAAACACAGCAACTGACTCCAGAGGTTAAGTCCAAGGCCATTGGCTTCCTCAATACTGGTGAGTGACTGAATGAGTGAGTGAAAACTTCACAGTATTACTTCAACAATAGATTGGGTTTCCCAATAGGCTTGAGTTACTTATCAATACTATGATACATTCGCTTATCATACTATGATAGTTCTTATGATAAGAATACTATGGAAGTTAATGTCATGGTAACTATACAGGGTTCAAACTCTAATAAAATGTTTTAGACTGAGAACCTTCTAACATATGAAAGCAAATTTTTAAAAATATCACAAGGCCAACGTATTTTGATAAGTCTCTGGCTACAGCATGTACAATCTTTCATACTGTTTCATAAACCTTCCACTCCAGGTTACCAGAGACAGCTGAACTACAAGCACTCTGATGGCTCCTATAGTACGTTTGGGGAGAAATATGGCAGGAGCACAGGCAATACCTGGTAAGAAAAAGAATTTTTTGAGCTATTTTTGTGCCAGCTCATTTACATATATTATCATGATTATATTCACAGTAACCTTATCAGATATGTATTATTAAGCCTATACTTGACTCTACTAGATAAATACACCAAGATTAGCAAGTTAACAAACAGAAAAGCACAATTATAGCCAACAGCTATGGTTGTAAGCTTGAACCTATGGTCCAAACAGGTAGCCCCACGTGCCTTGTGATAGAGTTCGGGTGCAAGTAGTTAAGTGAGGTTGAAACTCTCGTGAATGCTGTAAACAACTTGGTCACACCCCTACTTTGCCTCGTGGCATCTGCTATAAAATAAAGACACGGTTTGTGGGCGCTGGTGCTGTCTCCTCATCAGGGAGCAGCCCCCCACCAAGACCCAGCTTTCATTCTCTTATCTGTCTTTTCTAAATCCTTTCCCCGCCCCCCGCCCCCCCCCCCGCCCCCCAGGATCACCTTTGGCCATAACAAGTGGCGCCTGAACAGGGACTGAGTTCTAGAAAAAGGGCCTGAGCTCAGGCTCCCCACAAATATCAATGTAAAAAGTGTCCTATGAAGCCTATTGCTACAAAGTGGTTGTAAAACCATTTATATAACAACATAAATATCATAATCCCTTCTTCTCCTCTCAGGCTCACCGCCTTTGTACTGAAGACTTTTGCTCAGGCTCGACGTTACATCTTCATCGATGAAGCACACATTGATCAAGCCCTCACCTGGCTCTCCCAAAAGCAGAAGGACAATGGCTGTTTCAGAAGTTCTGGGTCACTGCTCAACAATGCCATTAAGGTGAAGTGTCCTCACACCTTTGACTTGCCCATGATGAGGCAAATCAAGATGAGAAGAGCGGGTAGCAACCTAGGGATTCCTTAGGGAAGGTATCAGAAGAACATAAAACCTGGATAGGAGCAAGAAAGAGGGGATAGCGTTTAGGTTATGATATGTTGCCCCATAGAGATGAATATGGAAAAGGATAAATTCCATGAGAGTAAAAAAACAGAGAGCTGACTAAGAGTCTTGTCAGAAGTTAAATTACTCAAATCTCTCCTGTGCATATTTACAGGGTGGAGTAGAAGATGAAGAGACCCTCTCTGCCTATATCACCATTGCCCTTCTGGAGATTCCTCTTCCCATCACTGTAGGTACCACCTCCTTCCCCTGGATGCCGTGAAACTACTAACTTGCTCTGTGAACTATCACCCTACTAAAAGCCAAGTGTCAACTTTCCTCCTATGCAATTCAATGCTTCCCGGCTCAATAGAGAATTTGGTCACTCCATTAAGAAAGATTTACACTTTCCCAGTGATGCTCCTGGGCTATTTATTGCCTAACCACCTCCCTCCGCCACACACACACACACACACACACACACACACACACACAATGAATTCGAAAGATGAAAGATATGGCCTATGTTTATGCCTTATAAATGTGAGAATAACAGATAAAAAATACTATTCTCTCTATCTATAAGAATGAGGATAGAGAGAGATGCATTTGAAATTGTTTTTCACTTCTGTTCTACAGTCTGCATTTACCTGGGAACGCTAGCCTCCCTGTTCACACAGCTCAGTTCCCTTCTTGTCGCCCCTTCACAGCATCCTGTTGTCCGTAATGCCATGTTCTGCCTGGAGTCAGCCTGGAAGTCAGCAAAGGAAGGACGCCATGGAAGCCATGTCTACACCAAGGCACTGTTGGCCTATGCTTTTGCTCTGGCAGGTAACCAGGAAAAGAAGAATGAAGTACTCACGTCACTTAATGAGGAAGCAGTGAAGGAAGGTGAGTGTGTGCCTGAAATCTTTCTCCCATCCCACATTCTCTGTATCAAATACTACTAAATTGCAAAAATTCCCTCCACCTACCACCTGTGACCCCTTTCTTCCTTCTTCTTTTATCCATATTATTATAAAATCTAGGATTTCTTAATCAATTCACACATCACAAAACAAGA